GTTTGTTTGCTTGGCTTTCAGCCACCGAGATTCTGGTCTTGCTATTAGAGGATATTCTAATTAAGCTTGTCTCGGCTTTCGTTACTGGACGGAGGAGGGGGGCAGAACAGAGCTCTATCTTGAACATTGGCAGAACTTCTGTCTTCATTCTTTTTTATTTTTGTATCATACATATTCAGGCAGTATCAAAATATCAATATATATATATATATATCAAAACCGATGTTCAACAGTAACATTTTATATTGTATAAATAAAAGCTACCTCTCAAGATGAACATAATGGCGAGAAAGAACATTCTTAATCAAAAACACAGTCTCTGCATAGATCTCTGGACCAATTAACTTGGAGAAGTATAGCTTGGCACGAAGGAAATATCCAATTGGCCAAAGCCATTCCTTAAAAACAAAACAAACAGAATTGAGGATACAGTGCTTCAATATGAAAACTGAAAATCTAAAATCAATTGATAAAGACTGATAAAGTATAACACTTACAGGTCCTTGATGGTAATTGAATCCTTTAGAAACATTATAATTATCATTGTCTAAGGCATTATCGTAAACACCGCAATAAACCATATCACTAGGAAAAAAAATGAGTCAATTAATATTTCTGAGAAAGACACATCAAGTTTTATGAAAATCCTTAGGACAAAGATCATTAAGATGGCTTTCACCATTCATTTTTATAGGATTTTAGATCTGGTGTTTGTTTATATTAGTGAATCTTATTCTCAGTGGAGTGTATTTACTTATTCAGACATTATTCACTGCAACAGAATGTAAACGATGTCAATATCTCTTTATTTGCAGTGAAATTGCATTAATTAATACAACAGTGATGCTGCACTAATATACTGATGTGATGTTTCTATGACGTTGCTGTTTAAAATATTCAGTTCCAATTAGTGGATCTTATACATCTCAAAATGTACCCTCTTGATAAGGATCAAGAAAACAGTAATGATAAAATGCTGCTTGACTCCCTTTTGCAATATCTTAAGACCAGAAAACAGGATACAGAGGAAACTAACATGAAAAAGAATAGTTGTCAGCCATGACCCAGTTTTATAAAATCAATCCCATCACAATAAAAATAAAAACTTTTAGGACTCAGGCCTCTGGCTATTAATTAAGTCAAATCTTATCTTCAAACAAATATTATTCACGCTATAGAATTTCTTTAAACTATGATGATGGACACGAAAATTAGTACACTTGTAGCAGACTCAACTGTTTATGAAACTTAGCTCCTATTTACAGTGAGGTTCACCAACAAATGCGCGCTCGACAAAAGCGTGCCGATGAAACCGCGGCAAGAAAACTGCGAGGTCGAAATCGTGCCGACGAATGAGCACAGAAGCGCACCGACAACAGCGTGCCGACAAAAGCGCGCCGACAAAAGCGCGCCTTCAACAAACAATAACAACCTAATAATTCTAACCCTAACCCTAACCCTAACCCTAA